CTAACCTGCTCTTTACTGAAGGACCTGCCAGCCATCACCAGGATCATATCATACTCTCTGTGCACCATAGATGCAGACCAGGAGTGGCTCCTTGTCAACACTTAGAAAAGAGAAACTTAGAAAAGCTAAACATTCACTAATTCATCCATACAGGGGTTCTGGGGTGTAGAATGATCCTGAAAGAGAGAGTGCCCCTATGAGAGGTTTTCCCCATGCAGTGTCCCTGGCTCTGGTGAACTGAGCTCATGAAATGAGACTGTTTAATTACTGTGTGATCATGCGGCTTGTAGCAGTTCTACTCAGCAGAATTCAACCTGCACAGATAGCTAACAATTTCTGGCTTTGAACAGGGCATTTACAGGGTTGCAAGAATCCTAACCATGTTCTCTGTGAATCTACCATGATGTGGTCCACACAGGAAAGCCCCGCCCACTCACTGTTACCAAATTCACTGGGAGCATTCACAATTGTAGGCAATCAAGGGTGAAGTGTGTTCCCAAGATAATAAGGTCCAATTCAGACTGCAGCCATGACAGCTCAGAATTCATGGAGAATGGAGAAGAAGGTGTTTGGGAGAAAAAGGAAGAAGATAGTGGTCTAACCAGTGGTGGATCTGAGGACAAACCATGATAGAGTCTTCATCAGGAACCCATATCAAGTCCAAAACAAAGCTCTGTTAAAATGTGCTCAGCATTGTATTATTCCAACAAAGATGGATCTGCTTTAATAACCTTTGGAGCTGGATGTCCTAAGTAGCTTACCAATAGTTTAACAGGCTAATTTACTTGATAAATTAATTCCACGAAAATTGTAAGAAGGGAAACTGGAGTGTTGGTAGTGATATAAAGTTAGTTTCACCACTAGAAAAATAAAATTCACCATTTTCATTCCTCAACTGACAATCTCCTAGACAATCACCTTACTTTACTGGAGTGTAGTTCCTCTTGAAATCAAATGGTACACTATCCGATCTAATTCTCAAGTCTGAAAATTTCATTCAAAATTCTTCACAGGCTGCCATTGTCCATTTTACATGCACTATTCTATAGGATATTAGAATCTATGGGGATTGTTTTTAAGAATGAAAAACTAGCAATATCAAAATATGTTGCAAAATTTTCCTTCATGAAATTTCACCTTCACATGGCACACCAATGACATAAAGATAATCTCAATGTTTCATTGTGAGACCCAGGATCAAGAAGCTCAACTGATTCAGGAAAGAGGCTCAGCCCTCACTGACCCCTGTGGAGATATACATATGTGTGTAGAGACTTTTCCTTACACTCAAAGAATAGAACCAACTTGGCTCCTGCCTCCAAAATTATAAAAAAAATCCCAGAGACAGTGAGACTAAAATCATTGCTCAGAATGGACAGCTCAATGCCTAATTCTCGGCTGTTGTGATGCCTGGACTGTGGCCTTTGACATATATACATTTTAGGGAATTAATTTATATCACAAGGGCCTTATATAATTGCAGAAAACCGTACTGTGAATCACTAAATTTACATCATTTTAATAATATACTGAGGACACATTATATCTTCTGTTTTCTTGGGTCCTTAGCAAAGTTATTTGTCTTGGTTTCCAAAGGGAACTCAGGGACTGTTATAGGGAGGATGGCTTGCTTTGTGACAGACAGCTATATCTTAGGAAGCTAATGTTGATAATACAACTTAGAACCAGTGTGATGTGACATGCTGCTGTGACTTCTCAAACCATTTCTTGTTGCCCAATGAAGTTGTGAAATTTTTACTGAACATATTTGTTATTTGACTCTCTCCTATTAAGCAAGAGACCTTCAGAGAAATCTTTCAAAGAGACACCAATATTTGAAAGGAAAAATTTGAAGAGAATATAGAGGCCACTTGTGATGGGTCATCTTGATTAATAATTGGCATGGCTTTAAAATTGAATAAGGAAAAAAAGAGATGGGCACATCTATTAGGAATACGCTTGAGCAGACTTTTTTTTTAATTGTTTCATTTTTGCATATTGGTGTATTACCTCAATGAATGTCTACCCTGGTATCTGTAGAGGTCAGAATTGGGCATCTGATCCACAGAAATTGTTGTTAGGGATGATACATAAAGTGGGTATTGGAAACAAAACACTGTCCTCTGGAAGAGTAGCCAAATATCTTAAATGTCCACCTCTTGAGATGGTTTTTGCACTGTGAGGATATACTGTAAGTGTCAGAGAAAACCTCACATGGAGGTTGTATAAAAGGGTGATTTTGTGGAAACCTGAGATAGTGTGATTGGAGAATATCCTAGGACTCAGGCTCTGATTTCAACACAGGCAATCCTGCAAGCAAATCATTCGGCCTGAGCCACACACTTTGACACCCTGTGTGGAATCCATGAACCTCAGGTGTCTTGGCACTCTGCAGGTCAGAGCCATACACTCCTTAGGGAAGGAAATTCAATGTTTTGGGGGAAGACAAGGTAATAATTCTTTCCATGAGAGATTAATTCACAGGTCCGTATCAGTGTTTCCATAATAGCAGATAGTTTCTCCTCAGAGAGCAGTGACATCTGTAGCTCATAGTGACAAAGTAAAGGACACTCAGAGGTCCCATCACTAAAGTTGTCCTCAGGAGAGAAAGGGTCCTGTTCTCAGGAGTCACCATCACAGTCCAGCCCTGGGTGATGCTGTCTCATTCTACAACTCTACAGTAATCTATGCCTGTCAACCATGTCCAGACAATTGGTAACCTGGGTAGGACCATGACCCTCCAGTGTTGGTCACAATACAAGCTTGTAAGGTTCATTCTGACCAAGAGAGGAGAACACATCATGAGTGTTCTCATACCCTGAACACCACCACCTCAGACACAGCATGTTCTGAGATGATCCACTTCTTTCAAGAATAAAATCTCAGGTGTAGTCAATGCCCAGTAACACTCTACAGGTGCTGGTGGTCAAAGGTAAGAATTCTCAACCATGGACCAATTATTGCAAACCCTGAAGGTCATTCCAATAGCTGTGTACTGAGGACAGCCACAGATGGAATGCTACTCATTGAGCTGAGCCTTTGTCAGAGTGTGAGGTAAGTGGAGACCTGTATCAGAGGATGGGAGAGGGCTGAGGTAGAATAAGAATAAACACACTGCCCATCTTCACAGGAGGGTTGCCCAAAAGGAATTCACCAGTATTGGTCTAGAAATGATCTGTCCTAGAACTTTTGATAAATTGACAGTCCTGTGTCTTTCAGATGAGTAAGGATGGAATAACTGATTACCAAAGTGTGCTCTGCACTGAAGGATAGACTTGATTATCCTAGTGTGACATCTCCTTGCATTCTGTGAACAGCTTTTGGGGCCAATAAAATGGTGTAGTCCACACAGCTCTCTCTCCCAGTGAATTGCTAACCGTCTGTCATATAAGACCAGTCTACCTGGTCTTGTTAGAAGTCTATGCATGACACAGGTGCCACTGGGGTATTCCAGAAGAATAAGACCATAGTAAGTGTTGGAGGCCTGGAAAGAAAAGGTTTGAACAGCAGAGGGATGGGAGTGGCCAGGTGATAAAAGACACAGATACACAAGTCCTCAGAGGCAGGCCAACGTGAGATTTCAACTAAGAAAATGTTGGACTCAATTTGAACTCCCTTCTTACTCTGACACAGCTCTCTCTAAAGATTTCTCAGTCAGTGCAGCCAGGCCTGATGGCTTAGTTGGGACAAAACAGGCTCCTGCTCATTTCATCATGAAGCTTGGTGGAAAATTTCTCTCATGTGTCCATTAGTATTTGCCTTACACATGGGGTTACAGAACTCAAACAGCAGGGCTTAAAAGATGGCTCACAGGCTCATCTTCCAGAGGTCCTGAGTTCAATTCCCAGCACCCACATGGTGGCTCAAAACCATCTGTAAGGAGATCTGGTGCCCTCTTCTGGCCTGCAGGCAGAACAATGTATTCACAATAAACAAACAAATCTTAAAGAAACTAACACAGCAGAATCCATCTGGCTTTGTGGTCAGCTTTTGTGGTGTATGCAAAGGCCCATGGGTGGAGGCCATGGAGCAAGGTTGGAGAAGAATCGTGACCCTACATCCTGGATAATCCTTACCCACCAGCATATGTGATGCCTCTGCTGTAACTCTACATCTAACCCATGAATGTCCGAGGACACCGATGAGATGCCCTCTGTGACTATCAGTCATCTTGGGCAAGTTCATCACATGGAACTCACCCAACCATGTCAAATGTAGGTCTTCAGTTTTGCACTGTTGCATGAAAAAACAGGGTCACTCCAGAGTGAATTTTGGCTTTGCACCAGCAGGGGAACCAGCCTGTGGTTAACTGACTGACTTTTGCTTCACAAAAGCCATTTTATTGTTACACAATTTACACCTTACCAAGTCAATTTCACATACCAAATCCTCTTATCTGAATCTCCCCAAACAAGACAAATGCTAAAGAAATTCTAAGTCACAGGATCGTTCAGTTTTCTGAGTTCTCCTATAACCAAGTTTTGCATAGGGTTGAACATTTCAGGGACAATTAAGCCAAGATATACAGACTTCAAACAGACGGTATCCAACACAAAATGTAGCAATCACAAAGACAGCTCAAAGCCCAGGTGCTAACACTCCTGAATACAAGCCAGCTGCAATGTACTTCGGTAACTTCCCCTACACAACCAGGAGGGGGCAGCACCTGTTCTCACTGACAGTGATGCCTGTGGGAGGTTGGTGTGAATGAGCTCAGGTCACTCAGAGCAGCCCTGACTGGTGCAAATGGAATGCCCATCACTGATTCTCAGGACACACAGCTGCTCATGAAATCAATAGGAAAGAGACTCTATAGCCAAGTGACACACTGCCCATGAGAATTCACAAATGTGCAAAACACACAGGAGTTAGGATAGGAATATCCCCTTAGAAGTAGATATGATGAAATACTTGGGACATATCCACAGTGTGGTAATCTATATAAATATATTGTCATTATTTCATTGAAGAAAATTACATGAATAAAATGTATCGGATCGTGCCCACCACATACTCTAGGGGACTTTTTCTCTCCTTTTACAAGATAGGGCCTGACATAGCCCAAGAAAACCCCAAACTCATTGCTTAATATGAATTCCCTTAAACTCCCAATATTCTTACATGATGATAATTATTCATATTGACACCGATACTAAGGGGAATTTAAGGATGTCTTTTTAACTCAGCATCAAAAGGTAGAAATACTCAGTGACCTCTACCTCATTCTCCATGTGACATACAGGACATGTGTGTAGCCTGGACCCAGCCTTTGAAGAGATGCCAAGTTAGAGAATTTTACCCATGTGACACCTTTTGTAGCATGGGGTCATTACTGAAGAGAAGGTTGAAAATTGTTGACACCCAGGGGTGGTAGAGGATGACAATAAACACTTTTCAGGACACTGCAGGACAGTCACACATCTGAGCTCACAGTGTTTGTAACGACAGCTACAATCCCCATGTCAGCCCAAAGCAGAACAAACCCAGTGTGACCATGGGAGATGGGCACAGTGTCCCACCATAGATGAAGAGTGATTCCCATCTTATCCATATGGGGAGAGGGAGAGTCAGTTTTCTCTTTTTATTAACTTTTATTTAAATTAAAATAACCCTTATTTTACATTCCAGTCCGAGTTCCCTCTCACTCCCCAATACTACTGCACCCCCCACCCATCCTCTCCTCAGAGAGGGTCCTCCCATGAGAGAGCATCAAAGTCTGTCACATCATTTGGGGCAGGACCTAGACCCCCCCCCCCCCCCCGCCTGCCACTGTATCTAGGCTGAGGGAATATTCCTCCATAGGGAATGGAATATCAAAAACTAATTCATGCACTAAGGATTAATATTGGTTTTACTGCCAGTCAGGGGCCATATAGTTGCCCAAGCACCCCAAAATGGTACTCACATAGAGAGTCAGTTTTATTTAACAGTGTGGCCCCAAATTGAACTGCACGGGAGGAAGAGAATAGAAAGTTTAGTGTAAGAAGGGACAGTGGATTTTCTACAACCAGCAGGTCACAGAAGGAATCAAAAGGAAATCAGATCAGTGAGGAGGGAACCAGTAAGAGAGGGAGAGGGAGAGGAGGAGGGTTGGAAGGTGAACCATCAAAACATAATACATACTGATATGACATTTCAAATAATTGAAAAAAATAGATTTCCATTTTTTATTTAGAAACAACCATTTTACATATCAATCCCCCTTTCCCTCTCCCTCCCATCCTCC